TTGCTTCTGTTTGCTGATTAGTTCATGGCGTAGTCCAAGCTCGTATAATTAATAAGTTCATTTCACGAGCTACAGCACTGGCGAGTAGAGAGCTCAACATATATCGGCTGAGTCTCGAAAAGTAAGAAGTAATAATAATAATAATTATGCCGACTAAGAGCTTCATCAGACATCCCATTATGCAACCAGGACTGCACTCGACAAGCACCGACCCACACATCGCTTGCCAGCGAACGCCATGGACTGGGCATGGAAACAAAAGCAGCCATGCCACCTTTGAGGGCACAGCGAAAGCCAGTCGCCGTCGTCATCATAAATGTTTGCTTGCGAAGTGCAGGGGGCGTGGCATGCACTTCAGTTGCGGCATTGAAAAAACGCACACACATGGGCAGAGCAAAAACATCTGACATCAGGATTAAAAATGCAGTGCATTGGATTTGCACGAGGCTTCCACCTTGGCCACGCCTCCAGGCCTGGACGGCCGCACATTTCGCAACAAATAATGATGCACTTGAAAATGTTTTGGAGTGTGTGTGTGTATGTGTGTGTGTGCATAACAACAACAGAAGCAGCATCATCAACGACAACAGCAACAGCAACAGCAACAACAACAACAATAGAGAGGAGAAGCAAAAATCATTAAAAGCAGTCCCAGCTCGAGCGCCCACCCGTAACTGCGTCGGGATTACAGTATTAAAGAATCTGCTTCATGACTGGAATATCCACACCATTAATATTTCACTTAGAGCTGCAATTGTCCTGGGAGCATGCAGAGAACGCACCTTCACCTACACCTACACCTCCTCGTACACCTACACAGTCAGCGACTCTCACTCTAAATTGCCCTAAAATGTTTAATTTATTTTATGCGATTTCATTCAGCGCCCGTTTTAATTATGGCCAGAGCAGTTCAGAAGGGGACAGCCTGTAGAAGGTGGAGTGGAGACCTCGACGTGGTAGAGCAGGCAACCAGTCAACTGACTTGTGTAATTTGTGCATAAGTTTTATTTACTTTGGGGGCGACATAATCTTGAGCTGCTTACTTGCCCAGGCTGCCGGCTAATGTCGTCTGGGCGTCTTCTTACCCAGAGATCGTCTCAATGGCCCTGTCAGGCTGCTGTCAGCCCGGCCAGTCCTACGACGCTGTGATTATGCACTTGATGTGATGTGCATAAAGCCGACTTTTAATTACAAGTAAATAATTAAGCCTCCGCCAAATGGCATTGGACGAGGAGCACGCTTAAGTAATTCCCATAAAATGATATATTTTATATTAAATTGAATTCAATGAGGCATTAGACTCATTTGTTTAAGTGAAATGGCGCACAAAGGGTTCAATGCTCGCGGCGCTTCACTCTAGCATAAACTGATTCAATTTTATTTAATTAAATCCTATATTTGTCGTATTTAATGACCTTGTTATTGTCAAAGTTTAAACTTTTAACATGCTGTATATTTTTTAATTATGGTTTACGTGAAAAAAAACCTTGATGACCGTAAATTTCAGTCAGAACATTTAATGCAATGTCTGAGCAGGCAATAAAAAAACACATATTAAGCAACTTAATTAAAATAAATAAAACTTTTACATGAAAAGCAAAAAAAGGATATGGAAAAAAAACCCGCTGGCTTTTATTTGCATTTGTTTCTGCTTTTGTTTTGTTTTTGTTCGAATATTGTGTGGTAAATGCAAGTGCAAATATATATTAATTGCGAGAGGCCTAGCAGCTTGGCTTCAATTAAAAGTTTCAACAACATCCATCAAGCCGCTTCAATGAGTGTCGATAACAGTCGCTCCCAAAGTATGTGTACATAATAAATAACAAATAAAATGCGAAACATGAAAACAGAATTATAAAAAATCATCCATCGATCTGATTCAATGGCTAACTTTTCCACAATGCCGTAAAAACTGCCTGAAAACATACAAGTGGAAAAAATAATTTTATTTGTTCTTAACAGACCCCACCCTTGGGGGGGCCTTCAACGCCTGCTGGCTTGCTGTTAATGTGTATTTGCATGTCCTGCGTTGTCCTGTGCTGCCATGCGGTCGATGCGCTGCTCTGGAGTGTGTCGCCTCTCGAAAGTAATAGCCAAAACGAAAGAAATCTACGCCCAGCACTCTCTGACTCGCATTACAGGCGCTTGTCCCCACGTTGTTAACGTAATTTCCATAAAACATTTTGTTACTTATTTATCTTAATTAAAATAAATTTACATTTTTCTAATTTAAGAGCGCGACGGCAGCGGCAGAACCAGCGCAGCCAACGACTACTCAGCGCTGTCTTCGTCCTGTCCCTGACATTGCTGAGCATTAGAGAGCGACATTTTCTTAACAAGCCAAAAGGACACATGCCAGATCATCAGTGACACTGCGCAAATGAGAGGGGGACAAAGGAGCGAAAAAAAAACAAGCAAATAATTTTACGGAATGGAAAGTTGCCTCCGCGCTTGACGTTTGGATCTCATTAACGTTGCTAGGGGAAGGTGTGCCGCAAAGGCGACGTCCGACACGCAGAGGGGATGTCTTTTGAGTCGGAGCCGGACTGCTCGTTGCCGCATAAGTAGCAGCCAGTCCTGTCCAAGTCCAGCTCTACCCACCATCCCAGTCCCAGTACCAGTCCCAGTCCCAGTCCCAACGCCATTACGAGCGCACAAAAGGCATAGAGCAAGAAAAGTATTGCCTTGCTCTGTTCGTGGTCTTGGTCCTGCTCCGTCAGGAAGAGCATAAAATTAAAAGCTGACAAGCGAAATAAAATGATTTTGCGTATTTGCGCACACTTTGTAGCCGTTGCCAGCATCCTGATGCAGATTCAATACAAAATGTTTGCCTGCACCACTGACCAGGCCAGCCGAGGTGTGTTCGCTCAGCTAATGAAAGCTATCTAAAAAATGAAGAAGCAATTAGCTAAGCAGTCTGATAAGCACAAAAACTATGACAGCCAACAAGAAAGTGAACGGAATTGCCTTCTTCCTTAATCACTTTTCCTTTAAAGCAAATTCAGACTTTAATAAAAAATTAATGATTGGCTTAAGGGAAAGGCGATTTCAACTGCAAAATATATTTATATTAAATCTGATTACAGAACAGATAAATATATAAACATATATTTTAAGTGTTATTTTTTTCATATTTCCAATTACATTGACTTGTTACTCCACATGCATGAAAACAGACGACTGCCAGTCGAAATTGGCTATGGGAAGGTACAGTTGTGCCAATTTGCATAAATTCTGATTAGTCAATAGTTGGCCTACACAGGGCAGAAACCTCACGAAAATAAAAGCAGCAACAAATCAAAAATCAATACACGGCCAACGCCATTTTGTTGCGCCGGAAGAGTATGTAGAAAAGCGTCAAATGAAACCAATACAAAACCATAACTAAATCTGTATAGATGCATGTGTGTGTGTGTGTGTGTGTGTGCACAACAAGAAATTTGAGCAAGAAGCAGCAGCAGGCATATAACATAAAGCCAACAACGCCCGCAACAGGGAAGCCGCTTTGCCAGGCAGGAAGGGAGGAGTCAAGCGTCAGTCGAGTGGGCGAGAGGGCGAGAGAGGAAAAAATAAAATGAAAAGTACAAGGAAAAGAAACAGAGAAGAGCAAAAAAGAAAAATACAAATAAATTCAAAGCAAACGAGACTAAAATTATAAAAATTGCCCTCCTGGTGGTGCTGTTGCCGAGAGTGCGCGTCCAGGACGATGGACGTGGACGTCGACGTCAACGTGAACGTGAATGCGAACGCGGACACGGACGCAAACGAGGATGAACAAGGCGAGGCGAACGCGATTCCAATACGGGACATCAACGTCAACGAGGGTGGCAAACAGCTCAAACTGTGGCTGGGGGATGCTGCTGTTGATGGACTCTCCGGGGCGGGCTAGCCGAGCTAGTCGGGCTGGGGGTGGTGGTACATAATGTGGCCCGGGCACTGCCGTTGGCCTGAACGGCGCATTAAGCAGAGAGGTGACCCGGCCGGGATATATATACAAATATATATATATATATCAGTGTACATAGAGCTGTGCTGCCATGGCCCGCAGCGTCAATGGACCAAAATAATAACGACTAACGGCCTGTTAAGGGAAAATGCAGCGAGCAAAGTGGGAGAGCGAGCGGTGAGAGCGGTGGCCGAGGGCTGGAGGCTGGGACATAGAAACTGGAGAATGGCTTGGTAATAGGTTTGGGTGGGTGGCCCAAGGTTTTTTAAGTGGTTGCGCGTGACGTGCACGACGAGCTGACGAACAGCGCGGTGGGTGGGTGGTGCAGATGCCATTGGAGCTGCTGACGTGGTATTTGCTCGCTCTCATTGACGCCGACATCGACACAGACATCGTCGACGCGGACCTGAACCTGGACCTGGTCGTGGTCGTGGTCGTGGTCGGAGTCGGAGTCGGGGTCGGGGATGCCGATCGTTATGCCACTGCCTGGCAATTTTTTTCCACTTATTTGTACACAAAACTCTTGTTACTAGCTGCCATTATGATTTTGAAAAGCCATTGCTTTTTTTTTGCCTTTTTTATTATTTTTTCTCTTTTTTTCATTTTGTTTTTTACTTGCTTTGCTTTTTGCCGCTCATTGAAAAACTGTGAAATTTTATAATAAGCATTTTTTGCCGCTGCCGGATTATTGTCGATGATTGTGATTGCGTTTTATGTTGTTCCTTTTATTACCAGCAGGAGACTGGTCAGCGGCGATGGCTCCTGGCATCTCTGTGCAGTGGACGCCTCTGTTGGGGCCATTACAGATTTGTTTTCTGTGTGCGTGTGTGTGTGTGTGTGTGTATGGGGGTCGTTTTATTATTGGTGCTGTAATATTCCTTTTGAAAAATTGTTTTTGCTCCTCTATGTATTTTAATTCATTTCTTTTACATTTTTCGTTTGTGCTCGTTCAGGCGCTATTGGTTTCAATTTAAGCTTATTAATTTTAAATGCGATTTTTAATTAAATATTATCAAAGTGTGCCGCCGACATCATTAGATGTGCAACTGCCCCTTCTGCGACTGGGAGTCAGCTTAGTCTCTGTAATAGGTTGTTTTGAGCAAGGCAAAGAATTGATACGACATGCTGATCACCTAGAAGAAGAGGAGAAACAACAGGTTTAACAGCTGCAGCTCAGCTCTGGCAGTCGCAGGCACCTTCATATATGTCACCAGGGAAATAGGTGGGAATGTGGGTGGCTTTATCATCGCTGGCTTCTGGCTGCGCAGAATCATCAGCTTGATCATGATGCAATACCTTCTGCTGCACTGAAACCAGTTTTGGTTGTAGGCCGCATCGCCCACACGCAGACTCTGCAAGAGACGTTCTCATTAGCTACGTATGGCTGGGATGGCACGCTTCGGCACGTACGGCTGCTATCAAGGCATCTCCGTAGTAGCACACTAGGAACACCTGCACCATGGATGTCATCAGGAATATGCAATATATCAGAATAACCTCAATCGTCGACTCGGTCACTTGGAAAGCGATGAAGCAGATCTGCATGGAGGCCATCAGAAAGTTCAGCAGCAGTGAGAAGCTATACATGCTATTGACGTGCTCACAGAGTCTGGGGAAGACGGGGCGGTAAGTTGGCATAAGGAAAGCCTTAATCGCATTTCACTCACGTCAAACACTTATCATGATACTTGATCAAGCCACTCAAGAAGCGTACATTTTCCTCATCCCGGTCCGAATCGCAAGGATGTGCTTCAAGGCGCGAGGCTATGTAGCTGAAGTGCATGCACAGCTGCGTGATGACTACAACTAGCAGAAGATCCGCGCAGAGAAACGCAATGCCGGCCAAGTAGGCGCCATGGGCAATGTCCCAGTAGGTAATCCAATAAACCCAGTTCTTAGTGGTCGCATCGAAGGGAAACCAGATGAGAAAGCCAAAGTTCCGGTCGAAGGTCTCGTAGCCCAGGAAATTGTACTTGACCGTGGCCTTAACTGCCGGATACAAGGTAAACGTGGTCGTGTATGCCAGACAGAGGAAGGTAAATATGCTGATGACACGCTTCATGGTGCGCTCAAAGTCGGCCATTTTGTAGGCCTGCTGTGCCAGCAGGGTCTTCGGATGCATCTCCTCCAGCTCGTCGAGCAGCCGTATCAGCGTGTTCTTGTACATCGCCATGGTGACCTGTTTGCAGTCCGCGACCAGGGAGAAGCCGATGCAGGGCGCAACAGCAATCGCCAGGCGAACCGTCTCGAAGTCCTGAATCGACTTGTAAAAGAAGATTAGCTCGCCGCAGACCAGCAAATTGAAGTTGATGAAGCCTGCGTACAGGTAGATCTTGAGCAGCAGCGAGGTCAATCGATTCGTTGAGCGATGCGCATAGATGTCCTGGCCAATGGTCTTGTAGAAGCGCACAGGCATTCGCATCATGTCCCCAAAGGTGCGAGGACTCTCTACCAAAGAGCTGCTCATGGTTCCGCCCGCTGCTTGTCCAGTTTTTTCCAACTGTACGGAATGCGCTTGAAACTCGAGCATTTATACGGTCTAATGGGCTGCAGCGAGCTGGGCGTGTCTGTCAACTTTTTGTGCCCCATCACGTCGCCTGGGCCAAGTGTTAATAATTGTGCGTAAACTTTTTAACTGACTAAGCGACAGCCTTTCAATGTAATTAGCCGTTGGAGCTGTGAAGTTTCACAGCTGCGAAGCTCTCATAAATTGAAAGCTGACTAGTTGGCCCAACTTACAGCGGCCATTTATCAAATATAGAAACGACTTTGCAGCGCAACAAAACGAATGAACTTTAATGAAAAAATCAGTCTTTCTAACTACGAAATTTGTATGCACTTCGAACTCAATCTAGGCAAGAACATCAACCAGTTGGAAAGACAGGAAATGTTAAATTGGCTTTTGCCTTCAAGCAATTTCAATGAAAGTGTATTTGAATGTCTCAGTTAATGATGTAATGTAATGAATAGAATAGTAATGCAATGAATAGTCTCAGTTAGTCTAAATAAATGCATAAGTTACTAAAATGCTTAGATATAATTAAATAATTATAAATATAATTCCCATTTATAATTATTTAATTATATCTAAGCATTTTAGTAACTTATGCATTTACTTAGACTAACTGAGACTATTCATTATTAGATTGTTAAATTTCTCGAAGACAAAGGAATTTTGTAATTCATGTGAGGCGCTCAAAATATTATGACTAAAGCAAATAAATTTGTTGAATTTATTTAAATTATATTTCAACTCATTTACTATTTATAATATTGACAGTTTGTATTGGTTTTCTTTTATTTTTAAATTTATTTGAATTTATTATATAAAAATAAATAATAATATAAAGTTACAAATTAGTTAATAATAATTAGGTTACCAGTTATTCACATTATTATACTTATACTCTATAACAAATGGAGATTGGCTTTGTACAATGTCTGTCTAGCTGTTTGTCCTTTGATATTCGCCTATAAACTCAACCTATTGGCTTAGATTGTTTTACCCAGTGTGCATGGAGGTCAGACGAATGGCAAAATTATATATATTTTACTTTGAGTGACTTGGACTTTGAAGCACTTATTCATAGAGACTAACTTCTCATAAGTTGCATAGCCTTGTGGCAAACTAGTTAGTTCTTAAGCAGATGGTTGATTTGTAACTTGCTTTAAGTAACAACAGAAAACCTTAAAATTGATTGTCCACATAATATTATTCCATACAATATTTAATTATGACTAAATTTCTGATCAACAGAGGTGTGACTTAGAATCAAGCAAGTCCATAGATCGCTCGACTTTCACTCTAGTTTGCAAATTTGAAATTATTTATAGTCTTATTGACATTCATAATCGACCCTCCTGCCAGCTGCTAAGAACTTTACCAATGTTGACCGACCTAGAGAGCTCGCAAACACAGTATTTTCTATATATATATATATTTAATATATTTTATATACATTTTATTTCCATTAGAAAATGAGACTATTTTCTACATTGATTAGAAAATCTAAGCGTTCATTCGATTAGCAATATGAACTTTGCATATGTTTATATAAGTTTGGTCTGGCCGTACGTGAATTACATGGCAAAAGTGGAGTGCCCGATAACCAGGTCTAGTACGTGCCCAGACTGCAAGGCCAAGTCTAAACTGTGAGTAGCCAGCCTTAGCCTCCAATTGGAAGTTGGCTCGCTCGAGTGCCAATGAATGCATTTTCCTGGAGCAAACGAACTGATTTTCTTTTCTTTTTTTCCTTTCCGCATTTGCCATTATGGTAAATGTGTTCAAGTCGATTGAAATGAAAATAATTTTTCTTGTTATCCTGCCTCTGTCAAGCACAAATTGAGCAGAAAATAACTAATAAAGTCGAACGTTGACGTCGCACGACATGAATAAAATGCTAAGTCGCCTTCAGACGAAGACGACGAAGGTGAAGAAGAAGAAGAGGGCATGGATTGCCATAGACTGCAATGGACCATTAGCGGCACAGAGCAGCAGGCACGAGGCACGTGCAATCTGCCAGTTGGAATTGAAATGCTGCCACAATGGGTAATTTTCATTTCAATTTTCGCAGTTTAGTGGGCAGGCAGCTGGCTCCAGCAGAGTCCACTTTTGGCATTTTTTGCTCATTTGCAGAATTTGAAGAGATATTCTTTTTTTTTGTGTTCGTTTTTTTTTTGGTTTTTTGTTTTTCGTTTTTGGTTTTTGTCTTTTCTGTTTTGGCAAACTTTTGCCTGCAGCTGCGTGTGGCAAAGAAAAAAGTTTTTCGATTGCGTTGTAGAAATGCTTGAAACATATTGAAAATGGCTCGCATTCTTTGGCTACAATTATTCCACGGGTTTGGGGCATATCAACTTTTTCCCCCTGTGGGGGAGTCTCAATGCCGGCAACAACAGCAATGCGAACTAATTATTAAAGTATAAGAGAATAATGCTGATAACTGAATGCAGCTTTCGTTAATTAGCACAGCAGGCGCAGCGCTCAGTAAAACTTTATTTGCACTCAACGTCAATCGGATTTAGCTCAATTGCAATGCTCTTTCACTCAGCATTGCTCCTGTGAGTTGTGCTGTGAGTGGAGTGGAATATGCGCAGGGGTAATTGAGTCTGAGTGCCTCCTGTTTGAGTGCGACTCAATTGGGCGACGTAAACATCGCTGCAATGTTTTACTTTCCTTTCCCCTTTAGGTCTGTTGCCTGTTGAAACTGTTCCCATTGCGATGTTTTCTCTGCCTGCGATGTGTTTGAGAACAGTTTTCGAAGTGTACGCCAGGTGGCGCCAATTGTTTCAAATGACAAAAAGGATTTGCTTTTAAGTTCTATGATTTTTCGGTAAGGACGTTGAGATTTGTACGTCTGTGTTTCGATAGATGGCGCCGCTATTACTAGCTTATGGTTGTTTTCATGGCGCTCCTTACCGAGGCCTATTAAATATTTCATTTCGCATATTTCAGTAGCTTTTCAACACTTTTGTTGCCTCAGAGCTCGCATTGTTTAAAGGACCTGCACTTAAGCGCAGATTTTAATTACTTTCCGGCCGACTGGCAGCGGCAACGGAAGGCGAACAAAGATGCCTGGCCAGCGCAGCTTGCAGCCTTTTGCTACATTTGGAGAATGTTATAGAAGTTATCTCTCGGCTCGGCCGGAGCATCGGGTCTGGGACATGAATTAGCTGCTCGCTTTTGTCACTGCATGGGAGCAGCGGAAGAAGCACCTCAAATGCATTATGTATTCATGGCAGTTGCTGAAAAAACCCGTAGAAAAAGGAAAATAAATAAAGCAGAAACATGTGGGGTGCGAGCTAGATGCACCCCCAACCCCACACGGAGAGAGTTGAATGCCAAACGAAATGCAAAGAAATGATGGGCAAGTGCACTTAGCAGCTTGTGAGCCGCCCTAGTTGACATTGCCAAGCACACACACACACACACACACACACACACACACACACACACACACACACACACACACACACACACACACTCACTTGAACAATTGGCATGTGTGCGCCACTTGGGGGTTGTTTTGCTTGGCAATAAAAATTCGCACATGAGCAAGACAAGCGCACACACATGCGGAATGGCAGCAGGAGGAGGAGCAGCGGCAGCAATTGTTGTTGCTGTTGCTGCTGCTGCTGCTGCTGGCCAAAGTGGTTGCTCTGCAGTGCAACTGCTATGAGTCACATCCCCCTCACCGCCCTCAGCCTGCTGTAGGGCTGCAATTTTCAAATGGCTTAAACGCTCAAGGCGCTGGCAACACCATCGCCATCGCCATCGCCAGCGCCAGCGCCATTGCCAGTGCAGCTGCCCCTTAAGTTTTGCTACTGCAATTAACCAACAAAACAGCCAACAACGACAACAACAGCAGCAACAACAACAGCAATGCATGTCCATACAACATGTCCATGTCCTGGGCCGCCTTTTGTTATAGCCCCGCTCAAGTGCAGCAGCAGCAGCAGCAGCAGCAGCAGTAATCACAAACATGTAACAAAAGCCTAAACAGGCTCAAGTTAATGACTTGGCAACATGTTGACTGCAACGTTGAGCCAACATTTGATGCACCTGTGACTGCGTTTTATTGCATCCTGCCTGCTCGCCACAAACAATGCGGCCTTTGTCTAGGCCTATGCATCTACAGCCATGTCTAGGCATGCAGCTGCCGGCTTAAGCTCGAAAGCCCCTGCTTCTTGCCACAGATCTTGCAGCAGCACCAGCTGTCGCTGTTGGGAAACAAGGCAAATTTGTCGAAGCTGCGTATGCTGACAAAGTGTCAGTCAGTCGCTGCGTTTACCATATATCCATATCAGCCAGAGACGCTGACGTTGGCACAGCCAATCCAACAATGAGTGTCTTCAGTTGGCAATTGGCAATTGGCAATTGGCAATTGGCCATCGGCGTTGGTCCATTGGCAAGTCACGCATGCGCCGTTGTCACTTGTCTTCGGCTGCGACACTTCGCCGCCTGTCGAAGCCATTTTTGGGCAAATAACTTGCTTTAAGATCCCGTTACCAGCATCCAGCACCCAACATTGAACGGCCAGCGGCTAAAGAGTTGTCATTCAGTTTGTCCCAAGACAGACGACCACCGACGGTGGTGCGACTGCAGCCTCCACGTTGGCTCCATTGGCTCCGTTGGCTCTGTTGACTCTGTTGACTCCGCAGTTTGTTCGTGTCGCTATTATCCAGGGGCATCAATCTCCAAGCAATTGACAGATGCTGCCAGCGTCTGCTCCCGCCACTCTCCACAGGCACCGCCACCGCCCTCACCCAATTTTATGGCAAGACGAAATTATTTACTCCCGACTCTGTCTGTGTGACTGCACCACCAGCACCGTCGCAATTGTCCACGCGGGAATTGGCCGGCGATCGCCGCTGGCTGAGATCTGGTTATAAGGCAATTTGATTAGCTGCCAGCTTCGAGTAAATTCAGTAAATTGCACTGGCCGCCTTCTGTCTCTCGCCTAATTTAATTTTCGTTTCTGATTCCTCTGCGCAGCCTTTTGTTTTTGGCTAGTTGACAGTTTTTCCACTGGC